GTTTCGGGTTTCGGGCTACTTGGGCTTAGGGTTGAGGACTTGACTCAGCTTAAGAACCCAAACCTACTTCTTGTAGGTTGTTAGAAAGCCCTTGTCGGGTTCTCAGGTAACCTGCAAAAAGTAATTTAGGGGTCAGAAGAATTTCTAATAGTCTTCCCATTCTGGCCAATATAATAAATTTTACAACGCCCCCCCAAAGCCCTATTCTAAGTATTAAGGCCCCTATATTAGGTCTTGGGTTCTAGAGGTCGGTGTTCGGATGCCCAGTAGTACCCTTATTCCCTTTTTTGGGGGTTTAGGTTCCCTTATAAACCCCTTTAAGAAAAAAAGGGCACCCTTTTTAAGCCTAGGTTCCTGGGCAGCCTAGGTGTTAGGTTTCAGTTTTTTTGGTCTTGCAAGTCGGTGCCCACGAAAGAAATGGCCGGTGGCTGCGTGCATTTCTTCCCTGCTGGCCGCTTGCGGCAGGGTCTAGGATAAGTTTAGGGTTTAGGGTTAAGGGTTTAAGGGTTTAAGGGTTTAGGGGTTTAGGGGTTTAGGGGTCTAAGGGTTTAAGGGTTTAAGGGTTTAGGGGTTTAAGGGTTTAAGGGTTTAAGGGTTTAAGGGTTTAAGGGTTTAGGGCAAGGGCTTGAGAGCTTGTGCACTTTGACTCCCGGGCCGGAGCTAGAGAGCCAAGACCAGACCGGCAACCCTAACTTGGATTCTAGCTGACATTCAAAAACCCTAAGCCCTAAACCCCAAACCCTAAACCCTAAACCCTAAACCCTAAACCCTAAACCCTAAACCCCAGCTTTTCCCTGGCAGCGTTCGGGTGCTCACCTAACAAACTCCGAGGACTTCTTCGAAGGCTGCATGCGGTTCCGCGGGGCAGCCAGGGCCATGGATGTGGGCCGCATCATGCAAGACCAGAGGCTTGGGGGGGGGGGGGTGATGGTGTTTAGGGTTTAGGGTTTAGGGATTAGGGTTTAGGGTTTAGGGTTTAGGGTTTAGGGTTTAGGGTTACAGCCTTAGGGCTTGCGGTAGTAGGCTTCTTGCTCTTCAAAGGGGTTTTGAGGGTGTGTTTTGGGGGCAGGTGATTCCAAATGTCATCGCAACAGGCCCTGCTTAAACTTTAAAGCTGAGCCCTGAACCGACACAGCTCGTCGGTGTGTGGTACAGCTCGGCAGTAAACATTTTGGATCACAACGGCCCAGCATATGCATTGTGTGTATACTCTCTCTCTATCTATATCTATATATAGACATATATATATATATAACCCTAAACCCTAAACCCTAAACCCTAAACCCTAAACCCTAAACCCTAAACCCTAAACCCTAAACCCTGAACACTACATACAAATGCATGCAGACTCGTGGGATGCATGGCCCGCCTTCTTGCGGCCATCCCGGAATCCCACACTGGCAGGTGGCTTATGAAGGCCCACGGGAGTGCCCCGGCCACCCGTGCTTGGAGGGTTTAGGGTTTAGGGTTTAGGGTTTAGGGTTTAGGGTTTAGGGTACTTGTAACTGTACTTATAACCATCTTAGGGCTCTGATAAGGGGCTTATAAGTGGGTTATAAGTACAGCTATGATTAGTTACTAAGTACCCTGAACCTCCAAGTGGGCGTGAATGTGCGTTCCTTTGGGCTTGGGACCCTTGTAAGGCCCTGGAATCCTACAACCCCTAAAGCCCTTAAGTCCCGAAGACCCTAAAACTCTAAACACTCAGCATAGCCTTAAAAGCCAAAACTCTAAACCCTCCCAAGAAACTCACCCTGATTAAAGCCCTAAACCGCTAACGCCAAAGAGTCTCTAGGGGTGAACGGGGAGGCTGGAAGGTTTTTGGGTCGGCTCAGGTTCTTGTTGGTGCAGGGACACTTGGGGTTTAGGGTTTGTGGTTAAGGTTCAGGGTTCAGGGTTCTAAACCACTGGAAGGCAAGGGAGGCTTTGCCTTTAGGGTCTATTGGTGTAGGGCTTGGTCCCAAAAAGCAGCCATAGGATTGGTCTCCAAAAGAGCCCAATCCCCCTTAATTAAGGAATATACCTTAAACCATAAGCGCGTCACCCTGACTGAACCCAACTCTTTAAGGCTCAGGGTTTATCAGTTCAATTTAGGCTTTAGGGTTTAGGGTTGTACACTCTGACGGACCCCTCAACCCTACACAGCCTACACCGTTAAGCCCGAAGCCCGAGACGCCTGGACCCCAACCCAAAACCTCCAAAACCCCTAAGCCCCTGACCCTAAACCCTAAATTTAATCCAATAACCAACTAAAAGCCTCAAACCCCAGCTTAAGAAACTGAAACCTGCGTCTATAGGTTGCTACTCTCAAACCCCTTAGCGCATTCTTAGGTAGCCTACAGTCTTTCATAGGTTTTGGGTTCCGAAGGTAAACCCCTAACCCTAAACCCTAAACCCTAAACCCTAAACCCTAAACCCTAAACCCTAAACCCTAAACCCTAAACCCTAAACCCTAAACCCCAAACCCCAAACCCCAAACCCCAAACCCCAAACCCCAAACCCCAAACCCTAACCCTAAACCCTAAACCCTAAACTCCTAACCCGAAACCCCAAACCCTAAACACGTAAACCTTAAACCGCCGAGGCTTCCCAGACGACGGCAAGTCGAGGGTTCCCTGGTTAGGTGTTAGGGTTTAGGGTTTAGGGTTTAGGGTTAGGGATTCGGGTTTAGGGTCTCAACCCTCAGAAACTCCCGACACCCCATGTCCCGAAGCTTCCGAGCTTGGCTCAGGATTTCAGAGCTACATCAGCCTGGAGCTGGATGAGGTGCGACAAGAGCTCAGAGGACTGTTTAGGGTTTAGGGTTTGGGGTCTAGGGCTCAGAGGACGTGCGTGCGACTGCCTTCGCTTAAGAGCTGTTTAGGGTGCCGGGCTTCATATTGAGGGACAATGTAACTACCCTAGGAGGTTTAGGTCCTGAAGTTCGCTTAAGAGTTGTTTAGGGTTGAGGGTTTAGGGTTTAGGATTTTGGTTTGAGGGTTGAGGGTTGAGGGTTGAGGGCTCAGGGTCCCTGTAGGGACCTCCTAAGCCTAGGGTTTAGGGTTTAGGGTTTAGGGTTTCGGGTTTAGGGTTTAGGGTTTAGGGTGCCTGTCTTCCCCCCCCCCCCCCCCCAAGAAGTTCTTGTCTGCCCTGAACCCTGAACCCTAAACCCTCAATCCTTAACCCTAGAACCCTTAAACCCTCGAACCCAAAGCCCTGCTAGGACTCACTGGACACCTTGGAGTGAAAAAGGACTCCGAAAGCGAAGCGCGCGGCGCCTCCCAGTGGGCCCCCCACAACTGGAAGGCCTAGCCTTCCCCTGCCCTTCCCTCCCTCCCCCGGCGAACTACCGCGGGGTTCAGGACTTAACCCTGCCTCAATTGGGACCCTCTCAGCCCAGTATATGCCCTGAGCCCTAGATACACCCTAAACCCTGAGCCCTAAACCCTAAACCCTAAACCCTAAACCCTAAACCTTGCAGGAAAAGTGCATGCAGAGCCATGGAACAGGGCGCAGAGTCCAAGACTCCGGCGCACAGTCACCGGCCCTCCTTTTGTGGCGACTTCCAAGCCCATACATTTGAGTCCTAAGGTTTAGGGTTTAGGGTTGAGGTTTAGGGTTTAGGGTTTAGGGTTTAGGGTTTAGGGTTTAGGGTTTAGGGTTAGGGTTTAGGGTTTAGGGTTTAGGGTTTAGGGTTTAGGGTTTAGGGTTTAAGGTTTTAGGGTTTAGGGTTTAGGGTTTAGGGGCCATAAACCCTAAACCCACTCAGGGTTTAGCAGGATTGTGGATTAGGGTTCCCGATGTAAGCCCGCAGCCTCTCCAGCAAAACCGTTTTCCCAGCCTCGTGCTAGTCACCCCAAATATGAATTCGGACCCGGAGTAGGCCCTCATCCCCTTTTTTTAAGGTTTAGGGTCCCTTAAAAATCCCCTTGAACGCCCAGAAGCGCACCCTTCCTACTAATTCACCTAGGCTACTTCTGGGTCGTCTAGTAAGGGAGCCTTACACATGAAACCTTATGCGAAGCGCTGAGTGAAAGTCGCAGAATGGCCACAAGGGGCGGACCCTGTCGAAAGATTTTACGACAACGGCGGAGATGTGTGGTTCTCGGACTTGGGGTTAGGGTTCGGGGGCTTTGGCTAGGACAGCATTGTGTGTCGGTGGCTTCTCTTATAAGAAGTCGGTCTAGCGCTATTTCCAGTTCAAGGTCCTTGTGGGCTTAGAGATTGAGGTGCTTACGTTGGCGGTTGGCTCAGACCCGCGTCTCATCGAGCCGACGTGCCTTGCTCCTCGAATGGTCCTACAAAGAGGTGCCATCCGAGGCACCCGGAGTACTTTTTCTTGCACGCCCCCGCGCACCTGCGCGAAGCCAGGTGCGCCTCTGCGCGCGCTGAAGCTCAAATGGACCGTCTAAAATTCTCAATCTTACTCCCCCAGGTAGCCCTTAGGCCCCGATACCACCTCAACCGCCCGTTCCGGGTATAGGGTTCAGGGCATTTTGGGCGGAAAGGCGGAGGGTTTTGAGTTTACGGGCTCAGATTTGGGGGCTTTGCCCTTATGCATTGGAGTAGGAGTTTTGTTTGGTTCAGACTCGGAACTTGGAAGGCTAGGGTTTAGGGTTTAGGGTTTTGGGGTTTGGGGTTTGGGGTTTGGGGTTTAGGGTGAGGGTTTGTGGCTTCGCTTGGCATGTCGAATGCTCTCACGGCTGGTTTGCGCTCGGCTTCTGCTTAGCAGAGCTGCATTCATTGGCTGGATGAGCCTTACAACCCCCTAAGCCCCATAAACCACCTAAGCCCTACACCCTAACCGACCTAAGCCCCCTGAACCCTTAAACCCCAAAGCCGCGAACCCCAAACGGCCCCCAAAAACCCGGCTTTAGGGTTAGGGTTTGGGGTTTAGGGTTTAGGCAAAGACCTCGCATTGTGAGCCATCGGGGCATGTACTCGGATTAGGCTTTGTGAGGGAGAGGGTTTAGGCTTTAATTTGCCCTGAGCCCAAAACCCAACGATTTGCCTGTGTGGCCATGGACGACGATGCGTGGCTCGTCAACCCACACACTCGGGACGCGACCAGTTCTGGCAAGGCCCAGGCAGGTTGGTTGACGTTCAAAGGTTCATGTGTTAGGGGGTGTGTCCTTGCCCGATAAAGCCCAAAGCCTAGAATCTTTGGGTTGATTTAGGGCCTAGGGTAAACCTTTTCAGGCTTCTGGTAGATGAGTTTCAGGGTTCAGGCTAAGGGTAAGGGTTCCCTCCCCCCCCCCCCCTCCTCACTCTCCGGAACATCCTTTTAGACCCCGAGACTTTGGAACCAAGTTCCTCAATCACATGACCCTCATACCTAGATCTCGGAGCTCTCATGCCTGTAGTACCGGTTACCAATGTCATCCTCTTCGCACACTTGAAGAACTATACCGGATGATACCCAGAATACCCATTCTAAATCAACGGACACTGTAAAGCCTAAGCCTTGAGCCCCTAAACGCTGATTAATCCCCAAACCTTGGGATGTTCCCCCCTTTACGAACAGTCCTTAATAGGGATTGTAGTACCCCCTATTGGAATCCTTATTAAGGACTGTAGGTATAAGAGGGAACAACCTAACCCCGAAGTCCTGAACCTCAGACCCCAGCTGCGGCTGATGGTTCTTTTTTCGTATTATTTCTGTTTTTTTTTTTTTTTAGTTTTTTTTTCAGGTGAACCCTAAACCCTAAACCCTAAACCCTAAACCCTAAACCCTAAACCCTAAACCCTAAACCCTAAACCCTAAACCCTAAACCCTAAACCCTAAACCCTAAACCCTAAACCCTAAACCCTAAACCCTAAACCCTACACCCTAGACCCTAGACCCTAGACCCTAGACCCTAAACCCTAAACCCTAAACCCTAAACCCTGAACCCTAAACCCTAAACCCTAAACCCTAGACCCTAGACCCTAAACCCTAATCCCTAAACCCTAAACCCTAAACCCTAAACCCTAAGCCCTAAACCCTAAACCCTAACCCTAAACCCTAAACCCTAAACCCAAGACCATGACAAATACGAAAAAAAGCCAGAAAAAATACGAAAAAAAAAACCTGGACCCCCCAGCTGCCCCTCAACCCTAAACCCTAAACCCTAAACCCTAAACCCTAAACCCTAAACCCTAAACCCTAAACCCTAAACCCTAAACCCTAAACAGGAGCTGAGTAGCCTGCCGGTACCGGTGGACCTGACGGATGCCGATGACTTCCCCTTGCTGAAGAGCCAGCCTGAGCCGTTATATGGGTTTAGGTGTTTAGGGTTAAGGGTTTAGGGTTTAGGGTTTAGGGGCGGTACCTTTGTTGTAGGGGGATCCTACTATTGGTGGTTGAACTATATTGAGGATCCCTGATTCTCGTAAACCCCTCAGATTGCTAAGGGTTTCTGGGGTTTCGAGGTTGTTTTTCTCTTTCTCGGCACGGTAGTCAAGATGTATGTGGTTAGGTTTCTGTATTGGGTTGGCTGGAACGGCCGGTTTTACAACAGACACCCTCTAGCGTTGTAACTAGGTTACTCGTAGGTGTTTTGTAGCTCTCAGTTCCTGTTCTCTGCTCTTGCTTCTGCTAGAACCTAAACCAGAACCAGTCCGGTTCGTGGACCTTAAACCCTAAACCCTAAACCCTAAACCCGAAACCCTAAACCCTAAACCCTAAACCCTAAACCGCATTCATCAAGCAACACATTCTGGCATTCCCGAGGCAGCAGCACGATGCTGTGATGCGCAGGCTGCTTTTCTGCAGTAGTAGCGAACCCTAAACCCTAGCCCAAAACCCTAAACCCCAAACAAACCCTAAACTCTAAAACCCCAAACCCTAAACCCTAAACCCTTTGGTCCGGCTCTGGGATGCAGACTTTCGGGTATGAGGTTTAGGCTTTGGGCAGGTGGCGCATGTAGCACAGGGATCCCAAGGCGTTGGGGGCTCAAGCTCCTATCGGTTCCTTGCATGAAGAAGCTAGGGCTGAAGGCCCTCCGAAAGTCTCCACACCCCCTAGGGCTTAGGGCTTAGGGTTTGGGGTTTAGGGTGAGGGTTTAGGGTTTAGGGTTTAGGGTTTAGGGTTTAGGGCTTAGGGCTTAGGGCTTAGGGCTTAGGGCTAGGGCTTAGGGTTTGGGTCCAGCCTAAGGCCGAAACCCTCCTAAACCTTTAAGCCCACAGCCCTGCGCCCGCAGAGCGTCGTTGAAACCCAACGCCCACCCGCAAGAATGCCCTTATTCAGGAAGAGTATTTGTAGCCCTTTGGGGGATTCTTAAGCAAATAGGACTAGGGATAATGATTAGGGTTTTGGGCTGAGGGGCTGCTACTTGCAAGCGTGTAGAAGCTCCGACAGTAAGATGGTGTCTTGGCAGCACGGCGGTACCCTAGTGCCCTTGCGCAGGCGGCTTTTGTACGTGCCGGTTTCCCTTGGATAGCTCATGAGAAACCTTGAGTTCCTTTGGTTGCAGTAGTGACACCTACAAATGCTGAACCAATTGTTTCACACGAACAACAGAAAGCATGCCTCGTAAACCCGTACATTCCTGTGCAAGGGGTGGCTTGGAAAGGTTCGGAAGATGCTGCAGGCTTCCAGAATGACAATCAACATGAACTTCTTGCCGGCAGCAGTCGTTCTGCTTCTATGCGGCCGCTGCCAAAGAGATTTTCAAAGAAATCGAAATTGAACCCCTGAACTGTACACCTCGCCTACCCTGCAACCCGTTACTGTATGCTGGGACCTTCTTTTGGGTCTTGATCTTGATTATACCCTCCTTGTATACCTGGGCCCGCAAGTAACAAGAGACTGCTTGGAAGATCGGGTTAAGTACGGAAAACCTTTGGGGTTAGCACATTGCGTAGGATAAACACCAGTTAGGATACCTGTTCGAGCAATTTAGAACCTACCTTCGTCCCCTGAACCCTGAACCCTGAACCCTCCACCCTCAACCCTCAACCCTAAACCCGAAACCCTAAACCCGAAACCCTAAACCCTAAACCCTAAACCCTAAACCCCAGCTTGCTGAGGTTAGATATCCAGGACGACCTGCTGCACCAGCTGCTCGCGAGCCTGCAGGTTCCTGGGCTCCCAAGCGTCGGCAGTGAGCCGCTCTTGGGGAGCGACTCGCAGGAGGAGGCCGGGGTCTGGGTAGCCTGCGGGGTTTTGTAGGGTTTAGGGGTTTAGGGTTTAGGGTTTAGGGTTTAGGGTTTAAACCCGAAGCGCCTTCTTTTGAACCCTTGGCCCTACAACTCAGCTTAAAGACCCAAGCCCCGGGCTTCGGGGTTTCCGGGAAAAGTGAGGTAGCCGGTTCCGACATTCTCGATTGAAAAAGTCGCGCAAGTTACCCCAAAACCGTAACCTTGAACCCTAAACCCTAAACCCTAAAACCCTAAACCCTAAACCCTAAACAGCCTTGAACCCTAAACCCTTCAAGGCTAGGCAGGACTTGGCACATGAGGGTCCAAGGTGTTGGGAGCAATTTCGGGAGATTGGGGCTCTAGGGCCTCGGGTACGGAACTTCGTTTCCTCTTCAAATTACGAAGACCTCGGCCTTGGTAGCCCAGTGGTACCCTTTACCCTTTCTTTAGGATCTGGTTTTCCGTATAAAATGACCAACCCAAAAGGGGTGCCCTTATTATAAGCGGCTACTGGGCTAGAATGTATGAATGTAGGCACATAGGTATTCGACATTTCGATAAACAGTAACATCAATATCAATATGTGTTTTTACATGCACGTGCATGCATCCGTGTTTGTGGAGGTAGGAAGTTTGCCGGTCGTGCGGCCGGTGCTGAGCTACACACAGGAGGACCATCAGCCACAGTTTAGGGTTTAGCTTAGGGCTTAGGGCCTGTGCTGCAACCGCGAATGATTCCGACTAAAGCTACCCAAGCAGAACTGCCACCAGTACTGCCCCGTATTGCCAGGGAAAGATGGTGGCGCGCGCAGAGTAGAAGCAAAGGTATTTTGTTGCGAAATTTGGGAGGTGTACAGCCGAAGCCCTTTGTGGTGCCCAAAACTACACTAGGGACACGTATACTACAAGAAGGAAACGAAGTAGACCCCACAACAAGGCCTCCTAAATTTCGATCTCCGCCAGCCACATGGGGTGTTTCGAACATAGGGGACCCCCAATATGCCCATAGAGGCCCCGAAATAGTAGGATTCCAATAAGGACCCAAAACAGGTACCCCTAATTTCGGGGAAAAAACAACCTAAACCCTAAACCCTAAACCCGAAACCCTAAACCCTAAACCCTCATTTCGAAAACGCCCCCCATGTGTTCATGATTCCCTTGCGACTCAACGTGTTGCAGCCGTCAGGACCTGCAGTTGCAGGAGAGCATCTTTGCTGCAAAGCCCTAAACCCTAAACCCTAAACCCTAAACCCTAAACCCTAAACCCTAAACCCTAAACCCTAAACCCTAAACCCGAAACCCGAAACCCGAAACCCTAAACCCTAAACCCTAAACCCTAACCCTAGGGAAGAAAATTCTAGCTGTCGGAATCACTACAAACAATATTCCTCGAAAGTCCCTTCATGATTATACTACAGAAACACCCCAAAACCCTATTTCTACGTATTCAAGCCCCTACAGTAGGCCCTACACCCCAAGCACAACCCTGGCTGTGCGGTTTAGGGTCTGGGGTTTGGGATTGGGGCAAGTTTGGGGTTTGGAGCTTAAGGGGGCCGTAGTGGGCCCCTAGTAGAAGCTGGTCACAAAATCCGATGTTGCTTCCTGGATGCGACCGCTGGGGTTCGTCCACGATTACGCTGCGCCTGCCACGTTTTCCTACATTCCCCTGACTTCTTTAACACGTCTTATTTTTGTTTTTGTTGTTAGCGCCCCCGCCCTAAACCTTGAACCCCCAAAGCCTAAATCCCGAACCCTGCCGTGCCTGAAGGTGCCATGCACGTGGCTGCCTCCCGAAAGAGGAGGCTGAAAAACACATGGTTCGAACCCTCAACCCTAAACCCTAAGCCCTTTTAACCTTTGGGTGTTGTCCTGGGTTGCTAAGCCTGGGTTACCAGAATTTTTTCTATGCTGTGTAGCACTGGAACAGCCCTAAACCCCCTACAACGTACATTCCTTTACCTGGTAGCATATCCCAAGGGTCTAACTAGACCTAGGTCAAGGCTTAAAGTGGTAGGGTTTAGAAGTCCCAGGGATGAGCCGAGGGTTTTGGGGTCAGAGTTTCCCCAAACCCCAAACCCCAAAACCCCCCAAACCCCAAAACCCCCCAAACCCCAAAACCCCCAAAACCCCAAAACCCCCCAAACCCCAAAACCCCCCAAACCCCAAAAACCCCAAACCCCAACCCCAAACCCTGATCCTTATACCCTCCAAACCCCAAAAACCCCAACCCCAACCCCAGACCCTCATCCCTAAACCATCAACCCTAAAGCCAAAAGTTAAAAGCCGCAAGCTGCAAGAAGGCCTCCCGCCCCGAGAATGCTGAACTGTGGACTCGAAGTTCGGGGCTTCTAAGCCCCACAACCCTAAAGCCTGATTCCCTAAAAACCCCTAAAAACCCCTAAAAACCCTTAAAAACCCCTAAAACCCTACAACCCTAAAACCCTAAAGCCTAAAGCCCTAAAAGCCCCAAAACCCTGAAACCCCAAACCCCAGGCAGGGTTTTGGAGATGGTGGGGTCTCAGCTCAATTCCGTCCCTACCCGACCCTGCGCCTCAGGCTTTCAGGGTTCTCAAGGAGGGGGGTTCATGGGGGCTAGGGAACCTCTAGGGAACCCTTGGGAACCCTTGGGAACCCTTGGGAACCCTTGGGAACCCTTGGGAACCCTTGGGAACCCTTAGGGAACCCCAGGGAACCTTAGAAAGCTTTAGGGAACCCTTAGGGAACCCTAGGGAACCTTAGGGAACCTTAGGGAACCTTAGGGAGCCTTAGGGAACCTTAGGGAACCTTACAAAACCTTAGGGAACATTAGGGAACTTTAGGGAACCCTTAGGGAACCTTAGGGAGTAGTAGGCTTTTAATCGGCTACATGAATAATGTTATGTGGCGGGCATGATATGGGTCTTCCTATCGCCCTCATGTTAACAGCCTGAATTTTACTCATGAAAAGCATGCGTCGCTCACTCCTTACCTTTGAAATAAATAAATAAACAGATATATATATATATATATATTTATTTATTTATATGTACCTATACAGTCCTTTAGTGTCTTCACTGTGGGAGCATTAGGGAGCCATGGGTTACATACCTCCTTGATAACAACCCCTCCCTTAAGAACCCTGCACCAGGCGGTTCTCAACGCGCTCCGTACACGGTGTGCATCCGCCGGGAGGCTCTTCTGACTGGTTCTTAGCTGTAGGGTTTAGGGTCTACTTGGAGGTTCATGGTACTTACTAACCAATTATAACTGGGCTTAGAACCCTGCTTATACGTGGGATAACCCCTATAAGGCCCTTTAGGGGTATTATAAGTAGGGTTATAAGTACAGTTATAATTTGTTAGTAAGTACCATGAACCTCCAAGTAGGAGTGAAGTCACCCTAAACCTTAAACCCAAAAGAAAATGAGATACTCCTTGGAATCCTTAAAGGGTATAAAGTAGGAGGGCATAGAAGGTGCCTAAATCCCTCAAGCAGGTCTACCCTTCCCAGGTCACCTGCAAAAAAATGGGTCTTGGGTTGTTAAGGCAAGTCCTAACTCCTAACGAACCCCGCGTTGACCCTAGCAAAACCCTGCAAGCCCTCAAAAACTCAAACACTCTCAATCTGGGCCTAAATTTGTAAGCCCAAGCACTAGCCCCCACACCCAAGCGCTAGGTCTCTCTGACTGTGGGAGACGGGGTCGAACCTCGATTTCAAAGCCTTGGGCGAAATGAGCCCTGGAGGCTCTAGGTCTTTAGGGTTTGGGGTTTAGGGTTTCGGGTTTAGAGTTTAGGGTTTAGGGATTGGGTTTTGGGATAGTCTTGCAAAGAATGGTTGTCATCACGCATGGCATGCGCAAGGAAGGTCGAATCAGCAGCTGACGGTGCGTAGGACTCAGGGCTTCGTGAATCCCACTTCCTCAATGTTCCCTAAACCCTAAACCCTGACCCCTTAACCCTGAACCCTGAACCCCCAACCCTGAACCCTGAACCCTGAACCCTAAACCCTAAACCCTAAACCCTAAACCCTAAGCCCTAAGCCCTAAGCCCTAAGCCCTAAGCCCTAAGCCCCAAACCCTAAACCCTAAACCCTAAACCCTAAACCCTAAACCCTAAACCCTAAACCCTAGCCGAGTGTGACGTCAGGCTGGCGCCTGAGAAGAATAGTGCAGACGCAGGCGTTTGAGGCCAGCGCATTCTGGTTCAGGGTTTAGGGTTTGGGGTCTAGGGTTTAGGGTCTAGGGGAGTTTGGCCTACGCAGGGCCCTCATCGACCTGTCCCCCGAAGCCACAGCCTTCCCCCTGAAGCAGTTGTCGTCAGCGTCGTTCTCCGGATTTCGGGATTCTGGACCGCAATCCAGTGGGCAAACCCGAAACCCTAAACCTTTGTCATAGGGTAAAATTGGCTTTTTTAAGGGTAGTAAACCAAGAAGGAATGGACATATCAGCTTTTCATCGTATCCCACCGATGATCTAGAAACCTGAAGTCCGAACCCCTAAGCCCCAAACCCTAAACCCTAAGCCCTAAACCTGAAACCCTAAACCCTGAAGCCCGAACCCCTAAACCCTTAAGTCCTAAGCCCTGTCACATTCCGAGGCGTTCTTCGCCCTCGTCGTCCTATCGAATGCCGCGATCGGGCTGCAGAATCCTTCCACCCTACGGGTTCGGGGTTTAGGGTTTAGGGTTTAGGATTTAGGGTTTAGGGTTTAGGGTTCCCCTAAAACCTGAATCCGTTTTAGGGTTCCCCTAAACCCTGAATCCAAGAAATATTCAACATACCCCTTGGACACACCCTTAAAAGAAATTAATTGTATGGTAAAACCCTCTCTTCTATTCTCCTGTTGTAGGTTAAGGTGTATGGGGGCATGTCGAAAACTCCTCATGGTTAAGGAACCGTCCGCCCTTGGAAGAAGTACTTATTGGGGTCAGTGGAAGCTCCAAGCTTTTAGGTTTAGGTGGGGTTCGGGCTTAGGTTCAGTATTTGGGGTGTAGGGGCTTAGGGTTGAGGATGCGGGGTAAAGTCTTGGGGCTTGGGGTCTCAAAACCCTAAACCCTAAACCCTAAACCCTAATTTGCTCACCAGCATGCAGGGTAAGCTAGCTTCGAAGCAGCTTTAGCCCCAAGAGTTGAGGGTTGAGGGATTTTGGTTATGTGCGCAACCCTAAACCCTAAACCCGAAACCCTAAACCCCCAAAACCTGAACCCTCAACCCTAAAATTTTAATCAAAGAAGCCATATCTGCGGCCCCGTGCGACGTTGAGGTCTTCATCGGCATCGAGGCAGAGTGGGTTTAGGGTTTAGGGTTTCGGTTTAGGGTTTAGGGTAATGTCAACCCCAATAAGGGCGCCCTTATGATAATGGTGCCACTGGGCTATCGAGTATTTGTTACTGACCCTAAACCTTAAATCCTAACCCCAAACCCTAAAACCTAAACCCTAAACCCTGTGTGCAGGCTTCTCATAATCTGGGCTGGCTAGAGAATAATTCCATAGGAACGTTAAGGGCCAGGACCCGGAGTCCCCACCCTCGGTGTGGGGGCTGTTAGATTTTAAACTCAACTCTTCTCCTCGCCCGGCGTGTCCCTGAGTGCCCAAACCCAATGTCTCCCTGGAGTGCCCAACCCCAAAGTCTCCCTGGAGCGCCCAACCGCAGAGTCCCTGGAGCCCAAACCCAGAGTCCCAGCCCCTCCCTGAAGTGCCCAACCCCGATTCTCCATTGGAGTGCCCACCCCAGAGTGCCCAGCCCCAGAGTGTCCCTGGAGTGCCCAACCCCAGAGTATCTCTACCAAGAGAGGGTGGGGATGTTCGAAGTTTTTTTTTTTTAGGGTTGGAGTTCCCCCTTCTAACCCCCTTAAAACCAAAAATGCTACAGTTTTTATTACCAGGTTACTCCTGGGTCTTGAGGAGGTTTCACGGCTGAGCGTACCTGTTGCAGGGGAGTATCATGCCCCAGGTACATGCAGGGCCCATCTCGGCATCCCTTGAAGAATAAGAGGGCCTCTTTTTTTGCTGGATTGGGGGTTGGGGGGGGGGGGGGGGGGGGGGGGGGGAGGGGGGGACCCCCACATCCACCCTAAGGGTACGGGACCCTGCTAAGGGCCCATGGTTCCAACCGTAGAGGCAGGTTCCCTGGCAATGCGTGGCTAGGGTGTGTCGTAGATCCTAGTCCCCCAAGCAGTACAGCTTCGCTGTGTTTTCTTTCAACAAAAAAGAGGTTCCCTAGAAGTGTGGTCCCTTAAAGGCTCAAAGGGCCGAGTACGGTACCTCACACACGAAGTCCCTACCAAAAAGCGAGCAAGTGAAGCCCTAAACCCAAAACCTTAAACCCTAAACCCCAAACCCTAAACCCCAAACCCCAAACCCTAAACCCTAAACCCTAAACCCCAAACCCCAAACCCCAAACCCCAAACCCTGTACCTGAAACCGCGAGGTGCAGCGGGACGTGGAATTCAGCGGGGCCGAAACACGGCCCGTCTGGCTCTACGTCGTGCAGTACACGCGCTTTGAGCCGCAACGCACTGAGGGTGTAGGCAGTTTAGGAGTTTTTGGGTCGAGGGTGTTTAGGGTTTCGGGTCTAGGGTTAAGGCTTTGGTGTGCACACAAGGGGTGACCTTAGAATATGGCTACTGGGCTTGCCTGGCGAAGAGTTTAGGGTGTAGGGTCTTGGGGTGTAGGGGGTCTCGGGATGTCGACGAGGTTTTTGGGTTGAGGATCATTGTATTACTATTTCTATGTTTTAGAATGACTCAAATCTTATTCTTATTATTATTCTTATATTTCTTCTTCCTCTTTGTATTGTTGTTATTGTTATTGCTATTGTTATTGTTATCATTATCATTGTTATTATTATCATTATTATTATTGTTATTATTGTTATTATTATTATTATTATTATTAATCATATGATTAGTATTGTTGTTATTACTCTTATTATTATTATCATTATTTTTTATTTATAATATTATTAATGTTATTAAATTATTATTATGATGATTTTTATTATCTTACTATTATTATTCGTATTAGTATTATTGGTACTATTATCATTTCTACTATTACTACTATTACACTAGTACTACTATTACTACTATTACTACTATTACTACTATTACTATTATTACTACTATTACTACTATTACTACTATTACTACTACTACTACTACTACTACTACTACTACTACTACTACTACTACTACTACTACTACTACTACTATTATGACTATTGCCACTACAACTACTATTACGACTACTACTACTACTACTACTACTACTACTACTACTACTACTACTACTACTACTACTACTACTACTCTTATTACTATTATGATCATTTCTATAATTATTATCATGATTATTATCAGTGTTTTACTATTACGTGTATAGACATAAAATGTATGTACATGTATGTGTAGGTGTGCTCCTGGTTGCAGAGTTTTGAGGCTTGGGGCTCTAGAAAGTTTTTGGATTTTTGTGGTGGGCTGGGTGAGGGTTGGAGATAAGGCTAGTTTGAGGTTTAGTAAGGCTTTTAGGGTTTAAGGGTTGGCAGCTGAGGGTTTGAGGGCTTTAGAGCCTGAACCCTACACCCCAAAGTTTTGGGTTTCGAGGCTCTCAGGGTTGCGAGAGGTCGTTGGGCTGAGGCAGTCTTAAAGAGAGTTCTATACTGGGTACCAAGACCAAGATCCTAAAGCCAAAGCTCCCTAAGGGCCCGCAGCCCCAAATCCGTAAGATTGATAAGACCTCTAGCGCCTATACACACTGCGACCCTAAATCCGAACATATGAAAGGAGGCCACGCATCCCTTATGTGATCTCATCCTGTGTGCTCTTCAAGGACTGCAAGCCCCACTGCCCTCGTAGGAGCTTAAGTTTTTACTTCACCATACTCGGGAGCTCCCCCCCCTGAAGCTGTTTTCGTGTGGGCATCAGCTTCGAGGTATTAAGGCTCGTGCCCCTAAAGTTGTACCCCTAAAGGTTCCCTTAAGAGGCCCCAATATGGCCCTCATGCTACCTTAAGGATCTTTAAACAAGCGAGACCCAAGGGTACAACCTCAGGGGTCCAAGGCAAAGTCCCTTGAGCCCGAAACCCTAAGCCCTGAACCCTAAACCCAAGGGTACAACCTTAAGGGTCCAAGGTACAACCCCGAGGATCGGCGTCTGCCATTTTCTACATGTCCCCTTATAATTATGAAACCCTAAACCCTAAACCCTAAACCCTAAACCAGGTACACCGTGTTGTTCACGCTGGAACTCGCGCTCCGCATCGGTGCATTTGGAGTGCACCGCCCAGCTGGAGAAGACAGAGCTTTAGGGTTTTTTGAGTTTAGGGTTTAGGGTTTAGGGTTTAGGGTTTAGGGTTTAGGGTTCAGGGTTCAGGGTTCAGGGTTCATAATAGGGTTCAGGGGTTTAGGAGTTTGGGGGTTTTCGGGGTTTAGTAGGGTTTGAGGGGTTTAGGGGTTTAGGGTCTGGGGTTGGTTTTTGCGTTGCTTTTGGAAGGGTCGCGGTAGGGAATCCGTCTCCTCAAGCCACAAGCCCCGAAGCCCTCAACCCAAGCGCCCAAACCATAAACCCGGGACCCTAGACAAACCTTATAAAGCCAAAAACCCTAAACCCTAAACCCTCAACCCCAAACGCTAAATCCCGGTTTCCGAGCTAGGTGCTGCCCTGGCACCTTGCCCTCGAACCCTAACCCCCCTGACCCTGGGAAACCCTAAACCCTTGACCCTAAACCCTAAACCCTAAACCCTAAGCCCCAAGCCCTAAACCCTAAACCCTAAACCCTAAACCCTATGTTTAGCGAACAGAGTGTAGTCTTACAAACTGTGGCCTCAGGTGCTTTGGGTTCCCTTTTCCGTATGGCTCCAGGTATACAAAGTATACCTACTTTTTGAGGCTAGGGTTTAGGGTTTAGGGTTTAGGGTTAAAAAAACCTAATTTGGGGGCACCCCCCAGAGACTCCAAGATCCCTGAATTAAGGAATAGACCTTAAATCATCATAGGAACCCTAATACGAACTAAGATATATATTCCTTAAGTAAGGTGCTTTGGAGTCTCTGGGCCTAAACCCCAAACCCTAAATGCCCCAAAGACTGCGACCTCCCTCCCCCGCCCACCCCACCCTCCTGTCGGGCTGGTGTTAGGAGGCTTTTGGGGTCCCTGGGTTTGCCCGGAGACTCCAAAACTTCTTAATTAAACGGCATATCCCTTAAATCATAATAGGAACCCCGTATACGATCTAAGGTATATTCCTTAAGTAAGCGGGTTTGGCCGCTTTACGTCATCTTCACCTCCAGCTTCGGCACGGTCGCGGCGGGCTTTCAAAAGATGTAAGGACCCCATCAGGAAAAATGGGCCAAGATCCGATGGACAATGTGTCACGAAGCCCTCACTGTCATCTGGGCCAAGATCGAACGGTGGACACCATGTCACGAAGCCCGGTTGCTGGTTTAGGCCCTGGTCAACTCGGGTTGGTTGGCAAGAAGGAAAGCCGGGGGCGGATCCCTTAAATCACAATAGGAACCCCGTATACGATTTAAGGATATTCCTTAATGAAGCGGGTTTGGGGTCACCGGGTTGGGTTTTTGTTTTTAAGGTGTTTTGGGGCCTTAGAGTTGACTGGTCCGGGGTTGTTTCGGAGTCGGGGAGTTTTGATCCTCCCCACCCCTCCCCCCGCACCCGCCACCTAGAGTAAGGCGCACGCAATCCCCAATTTAAGCTCTTCGTCATTTTTGGTGACTTTAAAACCTAAACCCTAAGCCCTAAAACCCTAAACCCTAAACCCCTAAACCCTAATCCCCTAAAGCCTAAACCCCCTAAACCCTAGATCGGGGGTACTTTGGGCTCTACGATCCGCCAACATCTTGAGTGCTCCGTGAACGGAACCCCTGCCCCCCCCCCCCCCCCCCCCCCCCCCCGTCTTCTTCCCACGCCCGACATGCGCTTAACACCCCACACCGTAAACCCTAAACCCTGAACCCTGAACCCTGAACCCTAAACCCTAAACCCTATAAACCCTAAACCCTAAACCAACCTGCAACCTTGAAGCCACCTGGTGCAGCTGAGGTCATGTGGTCTTTCCGTTATTCCGAAGCTTGGCATGCATGCTTGGTAGTGCGGTTGGGCGGACTTAGGGTTTAGGGTTCAGGGTTTAGGGTTCAGTTTTTTTTTTCTTTTCGGGCGGGGTTGGCGGACTGCAGTCTTATGATCATTTTGTGTATGCTGTTGTGTTATGTTTTTTTTTTATGTGCCGGAGGGGGGGGGGGGCGGGGTGGATTTAGGGGGAGGGCTTGTACGTTCAGGGCTTAGTGTGTTTCAAGTTTAGCGTTTTTTTGTTTTTGCAGTTTGGGGTTTGCTCAGGGCTGAAAAACACAGGCCCCTACTTGGGATGTGCCCCCTTATACTAACAGTCCTTAATGGGGATCAGGGATTATAGTACCCCCCCTACTATAATCCCTACTAAGCACTGTTAGTATAAGGGCGAGCATCCCAAGCCCACTATACTGGCGGGGGCTGCCGCCCCTCCACCTTCATAATCTACTAATTCTTAAGAGCCCCGAAAAAAGTTGGAAAATACTCTTCCTTATTAAGGGTACTATAGGGATTATCTTAAAAAAGATCTTTTGGGGTTCTTAAGCAAATAGTAGATAATGTAAACCGACCCAGGTCGCTTACCGCCTCCCAAGCCAGGAGGTCGCAAGTACCCACGAGGAACTCATCACCCACCGCGAGCCGAAACCCGAAACCCTAACCCCTAAACCCTAAACCCTAAACCCTAAACCCTAAACCCTAAACCCTAAACCCTAAACCCTAAACCCTAAACCCTAAACCCTAAACCCTAAACCCTAGCCATGACCCACCCTGTCGGGACCAGTGCCTTCAGTGAGGCATTAACCCCACCCCGCTAAGCCCTGAAGCCACCCCCTTGACGGCTTTACCCTGACCACCCGAAGCCCTAAACACTACCATGCATTTTCTGGCCCTAAACCCTAAACCCTAAACCCTAAACCCTAAACCCTAAACCCTAAACCCTAAACCCTAAACCCTAAAACCTAAGCACACCCTTTTCCCAGGAGGATCGCTTCTGGAGCTGGCTGGACGCCTTCATCGTGGCGAGCGCGCTCTGGGAGGTGGTCTGGTTTAGGGTTTAGGGTTTAGGGTTTAGGGTTTAGGGTTTAGGGTTTAGGGTTTAGGGTTTAGGGTTAGGCTTAGGAAACCCCAAACCCTGGTTTAGGGTTTAGGGTTACGAAACCCCCCAACCCTAAGCCCTTAGCAGGCCGTCCGAGTTGAAGAACTATGCCAACTCTTGGATCTCGGGTATTGGGTTCAGAAGGTTCAGGGTTCAGGGTTTAGGGTTTAGGGTTTAGGGCTCGAGTTGAAGGCGCAAGCCCCCAAACCCAATCAGCGGCTGTCCTAAGTTCATCTCCGGCTCCCCAACCCTAGAATTACGGTAACCTTCTAGAACTGGGCTCCTTAACCAGGGGACCCGAAGCCCCATCAGGGGTTTAGGGTTTAGGGTTTAGGGTTTAGGGAACCCAGAAGGAACCTTCAATGCCAGGTTGCTGTGGACATCCTGGCAGCTGTAGAGGCACCGCCGGGGGTTCTTTTGACTTGCTGGCCATCTGTTGACAGGGTTTAGGGTTTAGGTATTTGGGTTTGGGGTTTGGGGTTTAATTAGGGTTTAGGGTTTAGGCTTAGGTTTTAGGATTTAGGATTTAGGGCTGTGCTGGCCGTCTGTTTGCAGGATTTAGGGTTTCGGGCTGCACTGTTTTAAGGTCATGAGTCATAACTCTACTCCCCAATGACGACGACTTTGATGGTAAGTCCAATGCAACCTCCACCCTAAATCGCAATGACAGGCAGGTAGCATGACCCATGAAGCTTCACTAGTGCCCAGTAGGCATGGTTCCCTTTTTCAGGGGTTGGGGGCTTCGTACCCCCCCCCCTCTAAGCCCTAAACCCTAAACCTTGAACCCTGAACCCTAAACCCTAAACCTAAACCCGAGTCTTGTGGCAAACTCGGTGTTGGGCTCAGGGCTTGGTTATTTGGGGTTGAGTGCTTGAGGTGTTGGGTTTTCAGGGGTTCCAATCCTGCCCGGAGGCGCAACCCAAAACGCTAACCTTACCCCCCCCCCCCCCCCAGCCACGCCCCTCCAGCCCAACAAAAAGAAGGGAAAAGGGTAGTTACATGGTCCCCTCAGGTGGTCCCTTTTTTTGGAAGGGTTCCCCAATCAAGCCCCCAGACCAAGGGCCTTTGTCACTACCCGAAGATCACTAGGCCCTAAACCCTAAGACCTAAACCCTAAACCTTCCACTTTCGGGTTTAGGGTTTAAGGTTCCCCTTTTGGGATATAACCCTAAACCCTAAACCCTAAACCCTAGACCCTAAAACCCTGAAAGAAGCTCCCTGAGGCCTCCGCGGATGGCCTTCAGGGCATCCCGGGCATCACCAACCTCAAGTCCTTCCGCCTGGTGCGGCTGACGCGGCTCATGAAGATGCGGCTAGACCGCAGGGGTTTAGGGTTTAGGGTTTAGGGTTTAGGGTTTAGGGTTTAGGCTTAGGGTTTAGGGCTTAGGTCCCTGCTCTGCAGTTATTTTGTACTCATTGCTGGTTCTGTGTGTAAAAGACCATGTGGTCAGTTCTCTAAATGATGGGCCCTTTTTTGGGTACCCTCGGTAAGAGGGGCCGCCTTATACAAAAAGGGACCATGACAAAGAGAAGTGACCATCTAAATCGCAGGGATTCCGGTCAACGTGGCGGGTGGGGGTGGGAGCTTGGGGTTCAGGTCTAGAGTTCCTCACCTTGGTTGTGTTATGCAGAGAAGTAACACGCCTACCTCTTAGAGAGGTTCTAAAGGATAACCCCAAACCCTAAATCCCTAAAACCTCAACCCTCCCCCCTACCCCTACTCCCTTGAGGTTGCAAAGGGCTTAGGGTTTATGATGGCTATGAGGCGAGATGGGCCGGCGACAGCCCTCTGGACTCTGGACCTTTCAGGGCTTTGTGTATGAGGGTTTAGGGTTTAGGGCTTGGGGTTTAGGGTTTGGGGGGGTTAAGGGGTTTAGGGGTTTAGGTTGAAGCCACTGCTTTCCGAACCCTATCAGTAAAGTCTGAAGCCGAGTAGCCTAAATTCCTAAACGCGAGTTTAGGGTTTAGGGTTTAGGGTTTAGGGTTTAGGGTTTAGGGTTTAGGGTTTAGGGTTTAGGGTTCCTCAGCCACCCGAGGCTCGGGGGCTCGGTTGGGGGAATCTGGGAGCTGCGTGAAACTGCAACGGACGACCTTTGGGATGCGAAGGAGGAGGTGGTGGCACGGCACCGGCCTCGAGAGCGCAGATCTTGGGTTTAGGGTTTAGGGTTTAGGGTTTAGGGTTTAGGGTTTAGGGTTTAGGGTTTAGGGTTTAGGACTTCGGATCCGCACCGTAGGAGCTCCACGCGCACAGATCCTTTCGTAAGGCACGCTCTCGTGCGTGGCAACGGCCTGCTCCTGGTGATGCGTTGTTCGAAGTCAGGAGGCAGTGATACCTTCGCTCGGAGCTCGAGCTCCAAGACTGAAGTCCACATCCCAGAAGTTTCAAGGTTTAGGGTTTAGGGTTTAGGGTTGTCTTCCAAATGTGCCAGAAGCGAAATCCACTTTAAGGCACCATAGTCACCGCGTTTCTGGCTGAGGGGTTTGACCCTAAAGCCGTAAACCCTAAACCCTAAACCCTAAACCCTAAACCCTAAACCCTAAACCCTAAACCCTAAACCCTAAACCCTAAACCCTAAACCCTAAACCCTAAACCCTAAACCCTAAACCCTAAGCCCTAAAAGCCCTAAAAACCCTAAAAACCCTAAACCCTAGGTCGCAGTTCATGCGCATCTTCCGCTTCGTCATGGCCCTGCGGACCTTGGTCGCGTCGATCGTCTACACGCTGAAGGCCGGCTTGCGGAGTGAGGGTTTAGCGCTTTAGGGTTTCGGGATTTAGGGTTCAGGGTTTAGGGTTTTACAGGGTTTAGGGGTTTAGGCTTTAGGGGTTTATAGGGTTTAGGGGTCTATGGGGTTTAGGGGTTTAGGGTTTAGGGGTTTAGCGTTTAGGGTTAGGGGTTTAGGGTTTAGGGTTTCGGATTTGGAGGGGCTTAGGGTTGCGGTTCGGGGGGTTTAGGCTTTCGGGTGTAAATGTTTTCTGTTTCGGGTTTTTATATAGGGGTCGGAATATTTACAAATGGTGATCCCTGATGGTCCCTCTGTGGTTGTACTATAATAGCCCCCAAAACCCTATTCTAATTATTCAGGCCCCTAGAATAGCCCTAAACCCTAAGCCCTAAGCCCTAATTAAGCCCTAAACCCTAAACCCTAAACCCTTTTTGTTTCAGCCTCTTGGGCTGCCGGGCTGTGGGATTTCCATGGTTTTAGGGCCTAGGCCTTGGGATGTTCCCCCTTATACGAACAGTCCTTAGTAGGGATTGCAGTACCCCCGACCATAAAAAATCTCATTAAGGACTATGAGTATAAGGGGGAACATCCCAAGCCCCTGGGGGTGGTATCCCTATGAAGGACTGTTAGTGTAAGGGGGAACATCCCAAGGTTTTGGGCTGGGGCTTGCAGATTCAGCGCTTTGTGGCCGCGGGTCTACGGGTCTTCGGGTGTTTAGGGGTTTGGGGGCGTAGGGGTTCATGGTTTAGAGTTTAGGGCTGCTTTTTCTAGCATCAACCAGAGATTCCTTTGGAGTTCCCCATCGGGTGTCTTGGCGTTTCCACGTCACAAGAGGCCTTGGAAGAGAGAGACTTGAACGCTAAACTGCCCACCACTGTGATGTTGCCCGTGCTAAACATGTGCGGCCAGCGGCCCTCATTGTAACTTCCCTTGTTGTCACACCCTAGACCCCTAAGCCTCTAAACCCTAAACCCTAAACCCTAAACCCTTAAAACCTTTCCCCATGGTCGGCATAGAGAGCCGTCTGGCCGGCGAGCCGATTGCTTGACAGCCAGCGCGGGCAAGCCATGTTGTAGCTTCCCAAATTCGTAATTGGGGTTTAGGGTTTAGGGTTTAGGGTTTAGGGTTTAGGGTTTAGGGTTTCGGGTACTGTAATTGGGGGGGCTTTCCGAAAATAGGGGGTGATTCTTGGGGGCTCCTGTCATAAGGAGTAAGCTATTTTGGGGGTATATTCAGGGTATCCCGATTTGGGGAAATGATCACTACCTCCCTTGTAAAGATGCTCAAGCTGATGCTTCAGGATCGTCTGCGCGGCCCGTCGCACAAGCCCTAAACCCTAGACCCCCCTAAGCCCTAAAACCCTCAGTACCTGAAAAATCCTAAAAATTGACCCTGAACCCTAAACCCTAAACCCTAAACCCTAAACCCCAAACCCGAAACCCTAAACCCTAAACCCTAAACCCTAAACCCTAAACCCTAAACCCTAAACCCTAAACCCTAAACCCTAAACCCTAAACCCTAAACCCTAAACCCTAAACCCTAGCCCTAAACCCTAAACCCTAAACCCTAAACCAGCATGGCATGAGGCCTTGCTGTGGGCTCTAGTCCTGCTCCTTCTCATCGTGTACGTCTTCGGATGCCTGGCTACAAAATTCCTGTGCTTTACCAGTAGCTCGAATGGTTACGGGTCTAGGCGTTAGGGTTTAGGTAGGGTTCATGGTTCAGGGTTAGGGGTTTAGGGTTTACAAACCTGAAGTTCAAGGGTAAGTTCCTGAGCCGTGGAAACAATCCGAGACCGACTGGTTCTTAGTAGGGAAGGAGGCAGGGCCGCTACTCCGGGCCGGATTTTAGTAGGGAATGATTGGCTCAGGTACCTGAAACCCTAAACCCTAAACCCTAAACCCTAAACCCTAAACCCTAAACCCTAAACCCTAAACCCTAAACCCTAAACCCTAAACCCTAAACCCTAAACCCTAAACCCTAAACCCTAAACCCTATCCCTTGTAAGGGATTTGCAGGGCACCTCATTCCCTCATTCCCTACGAGCCAGTCAGGAGAGCCTAGTAGTAGAGTAGGTAGCCTTTAACCTTTTTGGGGTAGTATAATCCCCTTATAATCCCACAACCCTAAACCCTAAACCCTAAACCCTAAACCCTAAACCCTAAACCCTAAACCCTAAACCCTAAACCCTAAACCCTAACTAGGAGAGGCAGAAATCTGCGCCCAGGTGTGCTTTTCACCCAGGCGGTGAACGACCACAGGAGTGACCCCAGCCGCTTTGGCAGCCGGTGGGTTTAGGGTTTAGGGTTTAGGGTTTAGGGTTTAGGGTTTAGGGTTTAGGGTTTAGGGTTTAGGGTTTTAGGGTTTTAGGGTTTTAGGGTTTTAGGGTTCAGGGTTTAGGGTTTAGGGTTCGGGGTTTCAGGGTTTCGGGCTTCTTGGCCTTCTAGATTGAAGGTAGAGTGTCGGGACCCTGAACCCTAAACCCTATGAACCCAAAGCCCTACTTAGCCTCTCTTAAGGCTAGAATTGGGTTTCCAGCGAAGCTGCCCGTAAGGCGGGAGGTATGCGCACTTCCTTCCAAATCGAAACCTAATTATGGCCGCAGGCATGCTTGAAATGCCGCTTAGGGTTTGTAACTTGGGGTTTACGGTTTAGGGCTTGGGGTTTGGGGCTTAGGGTTTAGGGTTTTGGGAACTTGGGGTTTGTTTGTGGTCCCAACGATTGTCACACGGATGAGTTGGGCCCTAAACCCTAAACCCTAAACCCATCTTGGGATGTTTTTTTGTGGTATGCTGCTGAACCCTGAAAGCTGTAGCTTGTGGCACACAGTATATCTTCGCGCTGCCTAATTTGCAGAGCTACACATATCCATATGGTTAGAGATCCATGTGACACCCATAGGGGCAACAAATAGCAGCAGCAACAACAGAACCCGCAAATCGCCCCCAAGCCGTAAGGGGAACCCTAAATCCTAAACCCTAAACCCTAAACTCTAACCCCAGGTGTGGAGTTTTCCCTTGAAGAGACCACCGCGAGCCTTTTGGATGCCTCGTCGCTGTTTAGGCTTCATAGATAGGAATGGGGCAAGATCTTCTTTCGACATCACCAAAAGGACATCCAATATATATATATATATATATACACATGCGCATATTCATATAAATGTAAATATATATATATATATATATATATACATAAATTGAATAAATAAGAATATATATATATATACATACACATGTGATTTGATTATGTAAAGTACATACATACGTCGGAATAACGTATAAAGACCCCTGCACCATGTAGTCGTTGTCAGGTTTCCTTTGCTATGGTAACGAGGGTTTCGGGAGGTTTCAGTATAAGGCTCCTGGGCTTGTTGGCTTGTTTCATAGGGTTCTTAAGGGAGGGGGAAAATGGGGCACATGAGGCTTCTGGGGTTTGGGGCTTGTAGGGCTTTAGGGCTTTTAGGTGTGTTTTTTTAATTTTTTTTGTGGGGGGGGGGGGGGGGGGGGGTTGAGGGTGTTTAGGGTTCTTAGGGTTTAAGGGTTTTGAGGGGTTTAGGGTTTGGGGTTTTTAGGGTTTAGGGTTTCGGGTTTTTGGGGTTTAGGGCCAGGGTTGCTTCCAAAGAGGCTCGCCTTGGAGCCGCAGGCTCGAGGGTTTAGGTTAAAGGTTTAGGGTTTAGGGTTTCGGGTTAGGGTTTAGGGTTCTTGGAGAATAAGGCTTAGGATTGTTGGGGTTTCGGGTTTTGTGGTTCAGGGTTTAGGGCTTTAGGGATTTGTGGTTGAGGGTTTAGGGAGCATAAGGCCTTGAGGAGCCCAACTCATCCCTTACAGCCAACCCCCCCCCCTAAACCCTAAACCCTAAACACTAAACCCTAAGCCCTATACCCTAAACCCTAGACCCTAAACCCTAAACCCTAAACCCTAAACCCTAAACCCTAACCCCACCAGTCGGCCATGTAAGATGCCCACAGGGAAGGAGAACAGAGTCATCGACCCCAAACCCTCAACACCCCCAACTTGCTACCCCAACTGCGAAATACCCTACATACCCTGCATAACCTACATACCCGACATACCCTAAACCCTTAGCTCTAAGCCCTAAACCCTAGCCCTAAACCTTAAACCCTAAACCCTAAACCCTAAACCCTAAACCCTAAACCCTAAACCCTAAAACCTAAACCTAAACCCCAAACCCTACACTTATCCCCAAACTACCGAAACTTGAAGGGTTTAGGGTTTAGGGTCGGACACCATGTTATTCCGTATGACACCCTCTCACAGGCAACTTATTTGAAGTTCCATTGTCGCAGCGCAGATCTGCTGAAAGCATGAGCCTTCGACCTCTAAAACCTAGGAGTTTGATTCCCCTCCCAGACCCTAAACCCTAACCCCTAAACCCTAAACCCCAAACCCCAAAAAAACCCAACCCCCAAACCCTAGCCCTAAGCCCTAAGCCCTAAACGGGGGTCCCTTACCTCTTGAAAGGGTTCTGAGGTATGGACCCTGTGGGTTGTCTAGGGTATGCCCGGGGTATATAAGGGACATATTCATGGACCATGTAACTACCCGAACCCCTAAACTGCCCTAAACTCTTGGGTTTAGGGTTTAGGGTTTAGGGTTTAGGGTTTAGGGTTTAGGGTTTAGGGTTTAGGAAACCCTAAACCCCAAACCCTGAACCCTAAAAGCCTAAAAGCCCGCCCCAGGTGAGAAGTATTGGAGCTCCCTGCCGCTGAGCATGCCCCTTGTTCGTGAGCTAGGGTTCAGGGTTTAGGGTTTGGGGTTTAGGGTGTAGGTTTTAGGGTTTAGGTTGAACCTCATTCCCCTCTTCTCGGAGCACAGACCAACTCTAAACCTTTCCAGCCCTATAGTGAAGCCCTACTCGCGAAACCCATACCCTAATGAAACCCTACACAACCCGACGTTCACGCTGCAGAGCCGCATGCTGCACTCTAGACCCCTAAACCCCTAAGACCCATAAAAACCCGACAATCCGGGTTTAGGGTTTAGGGTTTCGCGTTTAGGGTTTAGGGTTTGGGGTTTAGGGATAGAACCCTTCAACCCTAAACCCCTAAACCCTTGACCCCTGAAACCCCAAACCCAATTCTTGAAGGTTCATGGTACTTACTAACCAATTCTAACTGTACTTACAACCCTTCTTATAATTCCCCCAAAGGGCCTTATAGCGGTTATCCCACTTATAAGTAGGGTTATAAGCCCAGTTACAATTGGTTAGTAAGTACCATGAACCTCCAAGAAGCCCCTCAATGAACCTCAGTCTGCACCTGCGGCCCCCGAAGCCCTCTTCGCCTGACGTTGGTGCGCAGGGCGAACGAAGCGTCTGCGGCTGCCTCATTTCAAAGCCTCAAGCCTTTGGCCTTAAGCAAGCCTTAAGCCTTAAGCAAGCCTGAAGCCTTAAGACTTAAGACTTAAGCCTTAAGCCTTAAGCCTTAAGCCTTAAGCAAGCCTGAAGCCTTAAGCCTTAAGCCTGAAGCCTTGAAAACCCTTAAACCCTAGACCCTAAACCCTAAACCCTAAACCCTAAACCCTAAACTTAGCCTCAAGCTTCAAGCCGAAGAGCAGTTGAGGCTCAGCCTCTTCATGAGCATCGCAGGCGGGGTCAGTTGGCAGGAAGTGACCCTCGGATGGACCTTCTGGCCATTGCTTGTATGGGGGTTAAAGTTTAGGGTTTAGGGTTTAGGGTTTAGGGTTTAGGGTTTAGGGCAAGTTTAGGGTTTAGGCCCTCGGTGGCCCAGTGGTGTTCTTGTGCCCCTTATTTGTTTCTGATTCTGGCGTGCTTTCCTTTCAGACTCTTTGTCTAAGGGCCTTTTTTGTGCTCGGGGACAGAGCTCTCTTCGGACAAAAAACGGGCTGGAAATAGTTTAGAAGCGAGCTCAGATTGCTGCCGCATGCAATTCAAGTCGGATTGAGGGTTTCGGGCATCTGCAAAGTTGGAGACTTCAAGACAGGGATCTAAACACTTGCCCCGATCTCTTTGCCTCGAAAGTGTAAGTTTCAGGTAGATGCACCGAGAGAATCGCAGAGAAAAGACGTATGAAAAAAGGTCCGAATCTCTTCTTAAGACTTGCATGTGGCCAAAAGCTTTCCGTCAAATAGAACGTAAAGGTCCAACCCACCATGGTTGGACTGTCCCGACTGTTCCGGACTATGTGACAACATGCTTCTTCCTCTTTAGATACAAAAAGAGGAGGAGACAAAGCCCCACACAGCCCTAAACCCTGTCGACACGTCTTTAGACCCCACAAGCCCTCGACCTTTGCATTTTCACTCCCGAGGAGCACTAAGACCCGAAACGTTTAGGGGGTTTAGGGCTTAGTACCTGCTTGTCAGCCCAGGATACCTCCGCTGAAAGCTATGTCCGTCGTGTGGGTATTCTTCTTCCTGATGTTCATTGCATTTAGCCAGCTGGCAGTCCTAAACGTGGGCTCGGCTGCACTTTGCAGACTTTGGATCAACTTGAAGGGTTTTTTGCGTGGCATAAGAGCCTGCGCTTTAGGGTTTAGGGTTTAGGGTTTAGGGTTTAGCAGGAAGGGGCAGACTTACATCACGTCACTTGGGACTGTGCCCATCGTCGCGGCGAAGGAGGTTGCTTGCCTCCCCATGCTCCTAGCTGTCCGCTGCAGAGGCGTCTTGGGTGGCCAAAGAAGAAGTCACCGGATCGTGCTGACAAGCAGGCTTTGGCCTGGTAGGTATACTGCAGGAAACTCATCCTGCAAGAGAGGTGGCACTGACCCTCTTTCTTTCTGTATTCTTGCTCTGCCGCTTAGGGCTTGTTCTTCCTTTCTTTGTGGTTCTGTTTTGGGTCGTTTAGTCCTTGTAGCGTTTCACCTCTTGCCTGGCCCCTGCCACTTGGAGAGCGTTGCGCGTGCAGTTTCTTCCTTCTTTGCGATGCAGCTGGATAAGTAAGCCTGCTAATCTCACCACGGCGAGTGGACTTTTGCATCGGCAGCACGCTGGTGTTGCACAAGCTGGTGGCTGCCCCCACCCATGCTTGCAGCATGTGGTTGAGTGGGTGTCATCGTCAAAACTTTCTTTTTCTGCCGCGAGCTTTCCATCCTGAGTGTGGATCGTAGCCGTGCTTCTGGGTAGTGTGACCATCCATCCTTTTCCGCTTAGGGGCTTAGGTGGTGTGAGGGTCTGGCAGTCTTCTGCCGATGTGAGTTTACGTAGGACGTAGGTCATCCTGTTGGCCTCCGCTTGTGCTTTGGCCGTCTGCGGGTATTTGCACGCCAAAGTTCTATAGCAAACTTCTTGCCGCGAGGTCGTAACTGGCGTTTTTTGCCAGAGCGCTATCCAGAGTGCCCAGAACGACGATACTGCTGTGATGCAGACTTTGATGGACGAGAAGGCCGCTTGGAATTTCTTGTTTTGTCAACCACCCTAAGCCCTAAACCCTAAACCGTAAACCCTAAACCCTAAACCCTAAACCCTAAACCCTAAACTGCAAGCGTTAAGTTGTGCTTTGTGTTCGCCTGACCTTGCGCGGCTTTTAAGTGAAGTTTGGCAGCAATGTTTCGGGTGTATCCCAGGGGCAGACAAGTCCGGCCCTGCAAAGCCCTAGACCCTAAACCCTAAACCCTGAACCCTCAAACCTAAACCCTAAACCCTAAACCCTAAACCCTAAACCCTAAACCCTAAACCCTAAACCCTTTCTGAAGTTGCTTGGGAGGAGAAGCACCTGAAGTCCCTCCGGAAGCTTTTCGTCCAAGTTGGCCTGTCCACTGCAGATGTCATCACCTTCGATGCTTTCGAGGAAACGCGCGACAGGCATACTTTCAACGTTCGAGCGCCCTAATTAACTCCCTCTTTCCCTGCTAAGCAACAGGAAGCTGAAGGAGTGCAGAGCTTTGGGGTTCGTCGGCGTGCAGATTTGAGCTCAGGTTCAAGGTTCAGGGTTTGGGGGTTAGGGTTAAGATGAGCATCTGGTGTTTTTGTTTTAAAGCAACAAACTTTATGCTGCCCGGAACACCCAAATGGCTTCTAAACCACCGCCACATGTTTGTCTGAAACTTGGGTAGGTCTACTACATCTGCCCAGCTTGATCCCGTCACCAAGTTGCCTGCCTTCAATGTTGATGTGATGAGTGTCATCAACTAGTTTGTTGTGCGACCCTGCTAGCCACTATTCATACCCCATATATATATATATACACCCTCTAAGGGATTATATAGTGTACCTCATTCCCTCATTCCTTACCCAACAGTAAGTCGGAGGAGAAGCTCGACACCCCGCCCGTGCGCGAATACTTCGAGTCGGTGGGCCTGGACGTGCGGGATGCTTTGATGCGTTCGTTGGGCAGGGTCATATACTTATAGTCTCCTAAGGAATTGCATGTGTGTTTCCAGTAGAAGCCGGGAAAACATGATGAAGGGGAAGTCTTATAGATAAACTCAAGTCCCGAGCCCAGACCTTGTGGTTTTCAGGCTTTTCACATGCAAGGATTGTCCAGTGCCTCCTTAAACCCGAAAGCCTCAAAGCCTCAAAGCCTCCAACCCTCAAACCCTCAAACCCTCAAACCCTCAAACCCTCAAACTCTCAAACCTTAAGCCCTAAACCCTAAACCCTAAACCCCTGGCCCTAACAATGTGGACCTGGGAGGGGCGGGGGAGGGAGTGTTTTGGGTTGACAGGCTTTCAAAGAACCCAATACCTCTTAATGAAGGATTACAGACCCTGAAATTGAAAATCGGGATCCTGAGAATATGACTGCAGGTAAATTCCTTATTCGTGCAGGGCTCCCTGGGTAGAGTCCAAGGGCTTGAGGATGTAGAACTCAGCTGGGCTGGTACATCTGGGTTGGGGGATGGGCAAAGCAGGCGGAAAGGCTTCAGGGTTTAGGGTTTAGGTTCCAGCGAAGCGGCAGGGTGTTGGGTTCAGGGTCTCGGGTTGAGGGTTTAGGGTTCAGGGTTTAGGGTCTAAAGGTGCGGCGTTGAGCTGTCGGAGTTTAGCATGCTCGGCCTTTGTAAAGCGCCTTTTCTTTGACCCTGTGTGCAATATCTGAACTGAATCATCGTCATTGTCTCTGCAAAAGGGGCCCTGACGCTCACATTTCAAGTGTCAGTACGGTACCTTGAAAGGGGAACGTATAGGGTTTAGGGTTTAGGGTTTAGGGTTTAGGGTTTAGGGTTTAGGGTTTAGGGTTTAGGCACTATAGGGTTTGGGGACCCAACCCAGGATGCCTGGACGTTCTTCCGGCTGCTGGACCAGGATGGCAGCGGTGTCGTCGCCCCTTGGCTTCGAACTGGGTTTAGGGTTTAGGGTTTAGGGTTTAGGGTTTAGGGTTTAGGGTTTAGGGTTTAGGGTTTAGGGTTTAGGGTTTAGGGTGTAGCATTGGTCAGCTGCACGCAATAGTATGAAGACATGCCCACCCCGAGGCCACCCAAACACTACTCATCACGGAACCAAACCGGAGCCAGCCAAAGCCAAGCCAGCCATTCAATTTTCATATATCGAAAATGTTTAGAGGACACTAAGACAGAACACTGCGAATGTTGCAAATTTCACACATCGAACATGTTTAGAGGACACTAAGATAAGACACTAAGATAAAACACTGCGAATGCTTGGGACATTTGCGCGCAATGGCCTTGACACAATGCACTCGGCACAACACAGCTGGCGCAATGCACTTGGCACAAGGCGCTTGGCACGATGCCCTTTGGCACAATGCACTTGGCACAGAGCACTTGCGCAATGCACTTGGCACTATACTGCAGTTGGCACACGCTGCACAATGCACTTGGCAGAATGTCTTTCGGCATAATGCCCTTTTGCGCAATGCACTTGGCACAATGCACGAATGGAACAATGCGCTTGGCACAGAGCACTTGGACTTGGCACGCACTTGGCACAATGCACTTGGGCGCAATGCACTTGGAACAATGCACTTGGCACAATGCACTTGGCACATGGGACAATGCACTTAGCGCAATGCACTTGGCACAGTGCACTTAGCACAACGGACTTGGCGCAATGGACTTGGTGCAACACACTTGGCACAGCAACGCGGCTCTTACCTTGACACAATGCACTTGGCACAACGGACTTGACGCAATGCACGTGGCACTAGAAGCAGTTGGCACATGCACGGGTACATTAGCGCAATGCAGTTGGCCTTGACACAATGCACTTGGCACATTGGCGCAATGCACTTGGCACTGACGCAATGCACCTGGAACAACGCACTTGGCACAGAGCACCTGCGCAATGCACTTGGCACTATGGCACAATGCCCTTTGGCGCAATGCACTTGGACTTGGCACGCACTTGGCACAATGCACCTGACACAGGCACGTGCACATGAGCGCAAGGCACTTTGGCACAATGCACTTGGGCGCAATGCACTTGGAAGTGCATTAGCGCAGTGCACTTGGCGCATGGAATAATGCACTTAGCACAACGCACTTGGCACAGTGCACTTAGCACAACGGACTTGGCGCAATACACTTGGCGCAACACACTTGGCACAACAATGCGGCTCGCACATGCACTGGCACATTGCCACAACGCACGTGACCTTGACGCAATGCACTTGGCGCAGTGGCACACAAGCACAATGCGCTTGGCATTGATTTCAGCATCTCAAGTCCGAGCATTTACTAGTCAAGCAGCTTGTCAAGCGTTGGAATAAAACCCCACCCACCCAAGAAACCCTAACATTGAGAAAATACAAAGTTCACTCAATACATTCCCAGTACGCTTACAGCTCAAGGTCCAGTTAACCCAAAACCCGGGTTGGGAGGAGGGAAGGGGGGGGTGGGGTGGGGAGGTGGGGGTGTGGGGGGGTGGGGGGGGTGGGGGTGGGGGGGTGGGGAGGTGGGGGGGTTGGGGGGGTGGGGGGGGGGGGGGGGGGGGGGGGGGGGGGTTCGCCATCAGAAAAAAAAACAAGAAGCCAACGAAAGGCGCAGGGTTTAGGCCCCCCCCCCCCTCCCGAACAACAAAAAAACAATATGCCGACGAAGGGCGTCAGGGTTTAGGGCCCACCAGGGGGAAACAAAAATATGCCGACGAAGGGCGTCAGGGAGGGCCCATCAGGGGGAAAAACAATATGCCGATGAAGGGCGTCAGGGTTTAGGCCCCCCCCCCCCCCGAACCAAAAAAAAACAATATGCATCTTAGGGTAGTTTCATGGGCTCTTAATATGGTCCCTGTACCTCCTTTAAATTGTTCTGATGTATCGGCCCTTAGTTTGTATAGGGCATGTAAGGGCTACATAAGGGGTACTCTTAACCCTAAACCCCAAACCCAACCCTTCATGCTCTTTCGAAGCAAACAATAGAACCCCCAAATCCTCAACCCTAGCACCTAAACCCTAAACCCTAACTAACCCTAACTAACCCTAACTAACCCTAACTAACCCTAACTAACCCTAACTAACCCTAACTAACCCTAACTAACCCTAACTAACCCTAGCTAACCCTAACTAACCCTAACCCTAACTAACCCTAACTAACCCTAACTAACCCTAACTAACCCTAACTAACCCTAACTGTTGTTACAGAAAGGCATTTCATTACTTACCGTTGTTCGCTCATGGCTCAAGAAAAAGGCGTGTGCACGTTTCCCTAAATATTGGGGCTGTCTGCTGGTAACAATAGGTTATCAGCCGTAGTACCACGCTAGTTTGACCACTCTGTGATGACGGACCAAGCTCTGCTAGGTCCTGCAGGCATACCAGTCCCGGACGACGGAGCGAGCAACCTGAGCATGTCCTTTGATGGTAATGCTCCAGGTGAGGACGCCGCTCCCCGGGAGGGTGAGCTCCCGTTGACCACAACCGCACTAAGGCTACACGACCATAGGCTCTTTCAGAAGGGTGCAGTTTCCGAGGCCGGTGTCACCACCGGTGCCTCGAGCCGTCAGACTGCGTCCGCGCCTTGGCAGGTTGTGTCCCCTAGTGCTAGACAACCACCGGCCAACCTTCCGATAGCAGCCGGAGGAAGCTCATCCCAAGATATTAGTCCGTCAGCCCAGAGTCTTTTCCAACCGACCTCCTCGACTATGAACAGTTTGACAATCGGCGATCAGCGAATCCTGCAGAATCAAGCAAACATTAGCAATGTGTTTGTTCAGAACGACAGGTCGCCGTTACTCGAGCAAATAGCTGAACATCGCCACAATCAGATCATTGGTCAGATCGCAAACAATTTTCAGGAGCAACTCCAAGCAATGGGTATGAATGTCATGTCGGGAGTGTCACAACTCAGAGTTGAACTTGCTCAGGCCGAAACCAGATTAGGTAGTGAGGAGACACAGGCCAGACAGAGATTGGCAACAGGTCAGTCGCAGCTTGACTCGCAGGCCAATGAGATCAACGTGGCACGAGGTGAAGCTCAAGCTTTGGCCCAAAGACTAAGCGCTGCTGAGAGCCACGCTGACGCTACCTACGCTAGGTTGCGTGATCAACTTCACCAAGCGGAAGCTAAGGCCGTCAGCAACGCGGATCTCCTCAATGCTGAAATGGACAGTGCCCGTGTCGCCGCTGCTCAGGCAACACATGCAGTTCAGGCGACATCTGAGGTTGAGATTTCACGCTTGACTGCTGAAGTTAGGGATTTCAGGGTGATGATGAGTCACGAGTCAGAGAAGAGAAAGATGGCTGAAAAGGAGAATGCTGAACTGAAATCGCAGCTAAACCAGGCCATCGCGGCTCTGCAGGCTCATGCAAGCGCAACGGGGTCCGCCCCATCTGCGCCACCGGGTCTGATCCCTACCTATCCCATCAATACTCCGCCTCAGGACGCCAAAGGGTCAAGGCCCCGACGCCACCCTGACGGGGGAGGCCCTGATGGAGATGATGACGGCAGCGATGATGATGACTCGAGCAGCAGTCATAAAAAGAAAAAGAGCAAGAAGAAAGACAAGAAAAGCAAGAAGAGGGATTCCAGTTCCTCTTCTGATCTCTCGCCCAAGCAGCTCAAGGCAATCATCAAGCAACTTGCCAAAGGAAAGACTAACGAGAAGGAGGAAGTTGATGAGGATGTAAACAAGACCAAATCCAAGGAGGCCGAGAAGATCCTGTTCCCCAAGTTCCCGACACCTGAACAGTACAGGAACTGGCGAATTAGGGTTCGTGAAGCTGTAGTTGCAGCGTCCAATAAGCCGGATGAAGCTTTTGAATGGCTTTCGAAGGTATGGGACAAGGACTCTAAGGAAGAAGAGTTGAGGGACACAGGTGGCTTCTCTACTCTCGATGCCAAGGTCTTGTCGGCAGTGACAAATGTCCTTGAAGGTGACTTCGCGCGCCAAATGGACACCCTCAAGGAGAGGGAGGCTCACGCCGGGAGGCTAGTGAGGGGTAGACAAATTCTGTTTCTCCTTCATCAGCACTTTGCTACAAACATCCTACACAATTCCGTGTATGACATGGAAGACCTCCTTTCAGTGACGTTGGTAAACGAAAACCTTGTGATGTTCGTTAGGAACTGGGATACGGTGCTTTCAGGCATTCAGACCACCCCTGAAGACAAGGTTCTCGAACCGCTCTTTCATAGGCAGGTAAAGAAATGCAAAGCACTTCAGCACGATATTGCCATCTATGAAAGGGCTGCCGAAGGCTCTAGTGAAAGATCGTTTAAATTTCTCTACGACGCCGCCAATAGCCACTTGAATCGCAAAAGGCTCGAGAGGAACCGGGAGCGGATTGCCAAGCAAACTGGAGCTCCTGCTGTTCCTACTGCGCCTGCACCCAAGAAAGTACCCAAAGGGTTTTGCATCTCTTTTGTCAAGAACGGCAGTTGCAAGAATGGTGGCAGTTGTAAATACAAGCACCAGACGCCCAGCGGACGTGGCAGATCGCAGTCACCCGGCGGAGGCCGAGGGAGAAGTCCTTCTAGACCCAACTCCCCGTCAGGAAAGCCTCGAGTGTGCAAGTTCTACAAACAAGGTCGTTGCGACCGTGGAGAGAATTGCAAATTCATGCACACCGGAAAGCCAGGTGCCGCTGCTACACCCGACGGAAGTCAAAAGGGATCTGCGCGCCCTGACAAGGGCAAGGATAAGAAGAAGAAGAAGAAGAAGAAGGAACGCAAGGGCTCCAGGGCTAGCTCCAAGGGTTCTAAGGGAAGCAAGGGTTCGAAAGGATCACATGGCTCCGGGAACTCGAAGGGCTCAGCTCGAAGGAGGAGTGGCGGACCTTCTCTCCCTGCAGCAGTTTGCCTTCTAGGAGCAATGATGGCCGGCACGGCTTCCCAAGCCGACGCTTTTACTCTCCGGAAGGATGAGTC